AACTACATATAATTAAACACAACTAAAAAAAATAAAGCTACACACCTTTATGCAAAACTGAGTACTGTACAGTTCGACTGTGCAGTAAAACTTAGGTGTGTTGCGGGCTTTAAAGTCAACGAAATATAATAAAAATTTAAAAAAATATTTCAAAAATGCTAATATATTATTAAAAAAAAATCACAAATCTGAATACCTCGCTTACAAAAAAAAAGAATAATTCGTATAAAAATTTATCGTGCAATTTTAAAACGAATCGATGATTTTCTTCGTCGCAATAAATAATTTATTTTTATTGAAGTAATTTGTGACGATAAATTTTTAAAGTTGCGCTATAAAATACTTGGAATCCCATTTGAATCGTACATCTAAAGTACATTAAGTTAATCGCTCACAAATCTTCCGATACCGAGTGCGGCCTGTTGGCTGCTTATGCCGGGACTTGGGTCGCAGCCAATCAAATATCATTCTTAACTCCACTTTTATAAACTGCAAATTGATGTCTCTAATTAGTTGCAGACGAAGATACTTTCGAATAAGAATCATTATGTGTGTGGAGAGAGAGAGAGAGAGAGGAAGAAATTCACAAATCACACACTGTCCTGGTGTATCGGCGCAACACTAGCTTTATTAAAATATCATCGTTTTTATTCCCTCACTGAACAATCTGACACTTGACTTGGTAACGAAAGCGCGCCAAAAGATTCTAACTAATAATGTCTTGAATTACAAATAATTTATAAAATTAATAAAGTAGGATTGGAAAAAGCCAGTTTTGTTTTTATTTCTGTCTGTCCACAACTCCGCGTGTACTTAGGCTATTTTTTTTAATTTTGCTTTGACGAATTCGCCGACAACCTAGAAGAACTTTTTATTAATAACGTATGAAATTTCTAAATAAATGAATATGAGAAGTTAAGTATTAATTCGTTAAATTTTCATTCAAAACCTACGTCTTTAACAGTTTAACGAGAAAACGTCTTGAATTATTAAAGGATTCCAAGGAAAATTCATCTGTAAATATTGTGCGAAGTGTATACCTTTATACGACCCATTTATTAACAATTCAAAGATTTTAAATAGGATCGAAAACGTGCCAAGTTAGCTTCTATGTGGTGCGACTTGCCTCAAATAATTTATTATTAATTTCATCCTCATTCAACACTTTTACTAGGAAATAAATTTTATTTTTGTGAAAAAAAAATCAAATAAATCTTAAGCTACTCTACCACATTAATCAGATTTATTCACAACTAGTTGTCGCCCGCGACACCGTCCGCGCAGAATGAAAAAGGCCTAATAAATAGTCTATATGTTTTTTTCAGACTATGTATATATCTGTGCCAAATTTCATCAAGTTCGTTTGTGTCGTTCCGGAGATATCTTCAAACAAACATCCATCCATCCATACATCCATCCATCTAAACATTCGCATTTATGATATCAGTAAGACATAACTTTAAACGATAGATTACTTAAGCTTAAAATTCCTAACCAGTTACAAACTTATTCCATTTATGTAAGTGGTTTTGTAAATAAAATAAAAAAAAAACAATGACCGCTACACACCAGTAAATACAACACTCAAACCGTTAAATGTACCAGGGGAGCATAAAGTAATATGAGTTCAGGAATAAAAGACGCTTATTCGCAGCACTTGGCCCGTGAAGTTCCACGTCCCTGTTCTCATGTGCGACGGGACTCAAATATTATTGTACCGCTCTGAATATTTGCGGAACTCAGTATAATGGGAATTTGTGCAATATTATTTTTGCTTTTTGAGATTCGCTCAGCGACATTTTCTGATCTCCTAATATTTTGTAATGAAAATGTTTTGATATACCTTGACATGTTTTTTTAATTCACAATGGTATTAGAAATTTGTAGTAAATTCCAAATTTCCATCAATTAAGTAACATTATAATACGTTTATCTGAACTTCAAGGGAAACAATATAACGAACACCGTAGCAGAAGTAAGGATGGCAATCGATACTTTCATTTATCAAAACAAGACTTCCTAGGACTTAGAAATACGATATTATAGGCAGTATATCAGATAACTTTAATCTATCAAATTCTATCATGTTTGTATCTCAGACTTTATTAATGTTGGTTTCTGAAACGAAAATCTCTGTATAAAACATATCCCTGTCATTATCTTTGACAAAACAGAGATATGTTTTAAACGAGGATTTTGGTCTCGGAAGCTCACCGTTAGATAGACAGAAGATAATATTGTAAACGGATTGGTCGATGTTAAAGTTAAGTCTAATAAAGATAATTACTGAAATTCTGCGATCCATTTTCTTGTTGATTTGGAAAGTTAAGTTAAGGTAAATTAAAACAAATGATTAATTTTATTCATTTATTCGCCACAATTAAGAGCGAAACACCCAATGACAATTTTATATTACATTTAAACTAATTTCGATCAGAGAGGGAGAGATTTCATAACTTTATTTACAAATAAATTTGTTAAGTTAGAGAAACAATCCTTTTTATTCGGAAAAAGTACAGTCGTCGGGAATTACACGTTAAAGCGGCAGTCATTTGTCTTGTATACCTTGAAATGTTCAAGATCAACACTCTATGATAGTAGGAAGTACAATGCAGACAACTGTATGTACCGTTTTTGCGAGGTGTAATGATTTTTTTCTGTAACTGGAACACCGCGAATGTAAATGACTGTACATTGGTTACGAGAAAGTTTTCAAAGCAATTTTTCCTCTCCGTCTCTGATATTATTTAGTTTAAGATGACAATTATATTTTTTTGTAATTATTAACTTATAAACACATGTATCACAGAACAATTTGATAGTGCTAGAAATTGACCATACGCTTTAAAAGGTGGACGCACACAATACATTTGATAAAGTAAAATACGATACACAAAACTAAACACGATCACTTGAAAATTGGCAGAATAGTCATATTTGCGGTTAAGGTCAAGGTTGCGGGAGTGCACCGGATGCGAGCGGCACAGGACCGGGCATTGTGGCAATCGATGGGGGAGGCCTACGTCCAGCAGTCGACAAGTTTAGGCTGAGTATGATGATGATGATGATGATGCACGATGTCATATACACGAGTCTATCAATCTTAAGCTGTGTAAACCAAATTATTGTAAAATAGCCGTACAAACGTCGGAACAGTAATTAAGTATTAAAATCTAGTTGGAGTATTCGCGTATTGAAAATTTTTTTACATTATTTCCGAGTACAAAATCTCTGTTTAAAACATTGTTATCTCTGTTTTGTCAAAGATAAAAACAGGGATGACGATATCCATATAGAGATTTTAGTATCAGAAACCCACAGTTAATGACATTCTCCCAATTTCCATACAAATAAATACAACGTATGTTTATAAAACTGCACATTGTAGGAGTTGATTTACTAACTAGTTTTTTTTTTAAGTTATATACATTTACACATAAGACATTCGTATGAATTACATAGAATTTTGGCACAACAACAAAACTTTTATGAGCATTTAAGCCCCGTATCTTTGAATATAAATTTTATTACGTTAATAACAAATACGGCATAAGGCAACTTAATAAAAAGTAACTAATGCGCTTATTTTATATTCAGTGCTTTTTAAAACTAGAAAATTAGTTAAAATTGTCCCTAAGTAATATAATATGATTGATAAATAAAAAAAATTAGCATAATTTTTAAAGTAAAAAAAATCATCGTATTATTTGAGTATTTTTTTTTCGTCAATTTGTAAAAATACTAGTGCAATAGCTTTTGTGCTTTTAATACGTCAAGTGATTTAGAATTACAGATTAAACAAATTTTTATATAATTTCCCACCTCCATTAATATTATATTTCTGATGACTGGTAACATAGTCACTTACAACACTAAATAATCAAACCCAGAAATTGATGTTACAATTTTTTTCACGCATTTATTCTCAAAGTTACAGTTTTCAGATAAATGCAACTCTTGAATTATAACTTGAGGGTTCCCAATATCGAAAAAAATATTCATAAAGTTAGCATGTATCTGTATCAGTATTTCGACTGTGTAATCCCAAGGTTAGATTCATTTGTACTATGTAGATAGTTTGTCACAATAATAATTTATCAGCACAGTGAACCGTCGGCGTTTTGCCAATTGTATTCGCCAGATCCGGACGATTTATTGACATTTGTCCTCTTAGCAATTCCCGATATACGATGAAATGAATCCGTCACATTTCATTACCTCGAAGAACTTTAGTGCGGTGTTCCACTGCCGTGACACATATTTACATTTACAATATATGTCAAGGTTTGCCAAAGAGAATGTTAGAAATGACAATATGCTTGTAAATAATTTTATAAATAGTGGAAACTCATTCATTTTGACATGCTCGTACCCTTTGGTTATAAAACTGATGAATCGTAAACTCTAGTTTATTGTTTCTGAGTGTTACTCTATTTCCGTATATACAGGCTGTTCTTTTATTTAGCTTTTTTAAAGTTAGATTCATGTCTCTTATCAGAATTTAATTGTAAAATTTAACAAAATGTTAATATGAAATTGTAATACTTTTGTTTTAATCTTTAAATTATTTCTTTTTACTTAAATAATTATCATTCTTTGTAGTTAATATCGTATTTTGTTCTCATACAAAGTAGTGCAAATAAGTACAAAGCAATTGTATTTTTACTAACAATTTTTGGCTTACCCAATTTTTTATATTACTATATTGTACAAATATTATATCAATTATGTATATATTTTAAAATTATAATTTAATAAATTTAAGTTCAAAAATCAAGGTTTTACACTGGTAAAGTGGTATAACAAGAAATGTGGAAGATGGAACATGTTACAACATTTTACACACCAATTAGATTATTGTTATCAAAGTATTAGAATCATTTATGTAGTAAAACATAAAACAATCTCTTCGATTAAATAAAGTTTAAATATTTTTTTTAATTAAAATTGAAACATTTATAAACATTAAAACATGTAACATGTTACAACACAACGTCAATTATAACAATATGATTTTTAATATAAAAATTACAACAAATGAAAACAGTACAAAATAACTTACCGAGTCTGTTTCTAGCAAGTCTTATAAACTAATTTTATTTATGCTGGCGGTGTGCAAAATGCAATGGTTAGAAAGATTTACTACCTATACTAATGTCCATGTAACCGTAGAATTACACTGCTGTTACACTTACATCCGTTCACATTGTTGTCTCTATGTTATCAAAGGAAATGAAAGGGACAACAATATGTATTAATAAAAGTATAACCACTATGGAGTTCTACGGTAATTATATATCTCGTATATTTTCGATTGAGTCGATTAGACTCTGTACAAGGCACTGCATTTGGATAATATATGAAATGTAATACTCAATGCTATCATAAGAAATGTCGCTTCTGCTTTCGTTGTTCTTGAACCTGTAATATAGAATTGAGTTTAGGTACTCGTGTATTACAATGTCATTTGATGGCGCTAACAAATAAGATTTTACTTAGTTTTATGACATGTTTTGTAACTAATATTAATTTATTTATTAATCTAAATTTTAGGGTAAAATATAAGTAGCTAATGGATTTGAATTCTTAACAAATACAGTTTTGAAAAAGTTAAATGCGAACCACACTTCAGAACAAAACTTTGCACTCTTATTGCGCGAAGTGATTTATTGGTCACTATAGCTCCTGGTACTACTTATTTACCATACTAAAACGCTTTTTAGTCACCATTTAACTAAAGCGATAGTAACTCACCAGCAGCTGTGAACATGGATAGATGTGGTGATCTGGCGACCACGAGCGTTGTGTTACTAGATCTGACATACGGCGGGCGCACGGGCTGCGTCGCCTCGCATCGTAACGAAACATCTCCCTTGGGAGTGTTTACTCGGAGTCGCATCGGTCGCCAACTCGAACGCAGCCCGTACTCGTCGGCGGATGATACTTCTGTGTTATCCACCATCCATGGTTCCGTCTAAAATATAACTTTTATTAGAGCCAGATTACAAAAATAGAAAGCCTGACATGCAGCGCCTTTTTAACTAATTTCCATATTGTTTTGCGAAAAGTCCGGGTATATACGTTATTTTATCTTGTTAAGCTCAACCAGAAAAGTAAAAAAAAACTTAAAGAATTGAGTGATTAATACAGCAATTATTCTTAATATTAAGATCTGTAGTATTTAGTAGTTCAATATGTATAGTTAGTAAAGCTAGATATATATGTAAATATCACTGACCTTTTCAGGTTTCCCGTCAACATACCAGACGATGTTTGCGGGCGGCATGGCGGGTGAGGTGGAGCAGTTGAGCAAAACATCCTCCCCAAACTGCACGCTGCCCTCCACACCCGTTATCACGGGGTCTTCTTTTAATGTCACTGGTAAAACAAATGAATAAACAAAAAAACACAAACGTAGCAAAAAAACTAATAATAAAGAGCACACATACCTGCCACAGTAAGATATTTAGTTTGGTTGACAACCGCGAATCTGGGCCCCTCAGTAGACACTTCACATGTGAATGATATCCTCGTGTTGTACCTCTTGGGCAGCACCACGCTTATCATACAGCTGTGCATATTACAGGAGTCCCGTGCCACGCCACCCGCTGTCGTGTTGAAAGTTCTCGTGTATGGCTGACGGATAAAACGTGTGTTACTTCATGTAGTAACAAGAATGAATTAACCAAACTACAATCAATAAGGTTAGAACCTCGATGGCACTGTGGATTTGTCATCTAGAGGTGCTGGTTACAATTCCTGAAGGAAAACATCGTAAGACAACCTGGACATATCTGCTAAGAAATTCGAAGATTTGTGTGAAGTCAACCCGCATTGGGTCAGCGTGGTTGACTATAGCATAGTCACTCTTAAAATGAAAACGTATAGTGACGAAGTATTTTTACAGCGGTTTTCGACAGTAGACTTTTATTGACATATATTGTGGTCCTTCTCATACTCTTAGAAATAAAAGAGACAACACAATAATGAAGTATACTCACTTGTTGCTCAGGCGTGAATCGAAATATTTCATTATTATCTCGATACCATTTGACGGAATGTAGCGGCGGGTCCCCTTCCTCATTGACGTAATGACACACGAGGTCGGCGCTCCATCGAGGGTCACCGTACTGTGGCACTTCTAGAAACGTTATGTTATGTGCCGTCGCTATCACTGTAACAGAAATATATGTCACCGAAAAATCTTGAAAGCCGACCGTTCGTCATTTGTCTAAGCTATTACGCATCAACGAATTCATTCATAAAATCCTGTATTATATATAGATAATTTATAAAAGTGTTACTTCATTGGTCGTGGTACGGTCACCAATTGGCGATTCTGTATAGGCTCCGCACACAGCCAATGACAGTCCCCTTTACATTTTGAAATACCCTCGTAAATATTCAAGACAAATTTTCACGTAACGAAAAAAATTTTTTGCAAGAGCAACTTGAAAGTCACATATTTTTTTCATTTTTGTAGATATTGTACTTTAACAATGTTGCCAGTTTCCCAACATTTATAAATAGATTATAAATAATTTTTAAAAAATATAATGAAATTTCCCCATTGCAGATGGCCTTGAAAGTCGAGGTCACAACTGTACGTATAAATTTATTCGTTAATAGTACTAAATAAAAACATTATTTTCCTTAATAACATTATATAGAATATGTTTAATATTAATAATGAAACTGTTTACTACATTATTTAGTTAATTTATATTTTGGCAACGGAATTAAATTTAATTAAGTTAAAAGAGTCAGCGAATTTTATATCACGTTGTCAGATATTGGTTACGTGCCAAGTTCGTATTTGCTCCGTTAGTCTGGATGAAATAATCTGGATCTAGAATAATTGCCTGATTATGCGAATAGAACCTTATATGTCGAAGATCAGTGGTATCTATAGAATAATACTTCGTTTTTACAACAGCCTCCGTCAGCTTCAAGTTCAGGACTAGGCGTATGAACGAGAAAAGTGGAAACGTTGCCGGACACTCCCACTTCGAGCAGCTCTAGTAAGTTATTTATTTGTAACATAACCTAATTATTAAGATTTTTCATTAAATTAATCAATTAACTATAACTAACTAGGTTTTGCTCGCGACTTTGTCTGCGCGGAATTCTAAAAAAACAGGATGAATCGTAAGCTATATGTTATTTTTGAGACTATTGCCCGATTACTGAAACGTTACTCAAATATCTACCTTCGTAAGCACTGTTTATAATTTAACAGTTGTCAAAACTTAAGTGGAATTCACAAACGCAAGTTCATGTTTTATACCGCCGTTCTGGAAATTCCTAGTAACAAATATACATCCAAACAAATATCCATGAAAACAATGACATTTATAATTTTAGTAAGATAAACTGAAATATTACTAAATAGTCTTAATTTTATCTATTGAAATCTAGATAAAAAGAAATGAAGAAAGAAGAAGAAGAACTTTTAAGAACCTAGCTTCTAAAAAGTTTTTCGAATCATAAATATCTATTTTTCTTTTGAACACATTGTTAACCACCCAATAATAGTTAATAAAGATAAGATAAAAAGTAACCTTGTAACAGTTAATTAGTTTTAATATAACCTAAGAAAAATTATGGCCAAAACCGAATGGCAAATATTAACTCATAAAAATACAACTCATTTTTCAAACTTATATATTTTTTAATTAAAAAATTCTCACTATATAAAAATCTTAATATTCATAAAACAGATTTATGGACAACATAAAGGATTAAAATAAAAAAAATATATATTACGAGATGGTTTTAATTAAAACGTGGAATGTTTGAACAAAAGCCGTTGCTAAGAAAAGTCGTTTCAAAAGCTTACTGCAGCCACCATGTCAACGATCTTTAGAAGATTCAACTTAAATTTGACAAATTTTACCAAAGTAAAATGTTTCATTAAAGTGCAAAGGATTTTTTTAATTAAAATTATTAATTATTATTTAGTTATGTCTACATGTACACATACAGTTATTACCCACTATACATCCTGTCTGTATCGCAAGGTTAGCTGTAAGAGAACTCTTTTAGAGTTAAGCTCATACCTCAACCTGTACATCATTGTATTTCTATGTAATGTTACAATATGTACTTTAAACTGTGTACAAAGCTTAAAATAAATAAATAAAACATGTAGGATGTAAGGGTTGGTCCAAGAGATGGCTGAATTACAAGAAAGATTGTATCATGAAGATAAGTGTGTAAATAAAGGAAGATATATGGAATTCAATGGAAATAAGAAATTATAACAAATCAATCTAAAGAATTTGAACCTTTATAAGCCCTTAGTCATAGTAAGTTTATGATTCAAATAGTTATATAAAAGTTATAAAACACGTCGGTAGAAATTGAATAATACTTCAAAGATATTTTGCAAATAGAAGCAGCGACTACATTTCAAATAATTTCCTGTTTTTCAAAAATCCACAACGCTGCAAAGTTTTAACTATACATCTAGTTAAAAAGTTTCTTAATATATAAAGTTGTTTTCTGTTGGTATCTTTGTTTGCATACTAAATCTGCCTTTAGAACACTTCCAGTTTTTTGATAATAGAGGTAAAATTTGCATTGACCTTTATACCGTGGGTTTCTGACTTATCTCCTTTGAAAATAAATTATTATCTCTGTTTTGTCAAAGATAACAGGAATAATGTTTTAGACGGAGATTCTGGACTCTGAAACCAACAGTTAGAGTACTAGATATGTTTTTAGTACTAGAGAGCTCACTAGCGCCCTCCTGACGAAATCAAAAAAGTTATAAGGTCTTTTTCGTATTCCCCGTGTAGATTTTGCATTTTTTCTGGCAACACTAACCGCGATAGGTAACACCTCTCTAATCGGGCCAAGTATTCTTTGACTATTTAGTGCGACATGTTTATCTTGGTCGATAAGAGAGGCGCTGCTATCGCAGAAGGACGATAGAAATGTTATGACAGTTTTTTGACATTGACAGAGGGGCGCTAGTGTGCTATATTTTAGTTTGACTTATGTCCACAGTAGTCAAATTCAATTTTATTATTTACTAATTAGTTATTAGTCAGTCTATTTACTCCAATTAAATTTAAATAGATCGCATATTGTACGTAACAAATATCATTCCACAAAATCAACGAAGTTCGAATGACTTTTTTTTATCACATATATAATTAAAAAACTTGTAGAAAAAATCCACCTTAACAAAACATTAAAACACAAAAGTTGGACCTTATCATGCCTTACCCTCATTTATACCTTACAGATGCCGGCTTATAATATAATTTGAGCCGCAAACAGACGCCTTTGTGCTACAATAGGACAGTAATAGCCCATTATTTAACTTTATAGTTCGTAATAAGCCCCGACGAAGCTGCGAGATCTAGCAAATGCTAAAGTGAAGCCTATTCTGGCAGACACGCCTCCTTACAAAAAACTATTTAATGTGCATATTATTCGCATTTTATGTAAAAAAGTTTTGTATTTAAATTTTATTATATTACATGTATGTTCTAAGAAATTTACTAATATTATAAATGCTTTGCTATTTATGCACATATCTGAGAAGAAATTCAAAGATATGTGTGAAGTCAACCAACCCGCACTTGGCCAGCGTGGTTGACTATGGCCTAGGCACCCCTAACTTAGGGCAGGCTCCGAGCCCCTCGGTGGGGACGTATAGCTGATGATGATTATAAATGCTTTGATGGATGGATGTTTGTTAGAATGTATATCCAGAGCGGCTGCATGAATTTAGTTAATATTTGTCAAAAAGGTAACATATTTTGGAAGAATCTAAAGGCTAAGTTTTTTTAATACCTCTCGTACGGAGTCGCGGCCTAGCGTTAGTATGAAAATAAAAGAAAAGAAAATATAGAATATGATATTTAATAACAATTTTAGACGATTTATACAACAATAACACTTATAAATTGTTACTAAGAGTAGCAGAAAATAGAACACTGTTATCTTATTAACTTAAATATATAGCTAGTCTAATGTTTAAACACGCTCCCGGCCGTGGTAAAACTTGGATTATATTCACAACGATAGTGCCGCTTTCAAAGATTAGTGTTGCTGTAAAAAATATCAAAACTAGCTGTCGCCTGCGACTCCGTCCACGCGGAATAAAAAAAAACTATTGGTCGCAGCGTAATGTTATATAGCGTAAAACCTTCCTCTATAAATGGACTATCCAACTAAAAAAAAATTTTACAAATCGGACTAGTAGTTCCTGAGATTAACGCGTTTAAACAAACAAACAAACTCTTCCGCTTTATAATATAAGAGAATATTCTTTAACTAAATAATTTACAACTGTAAAGGATAGACAGACCACCAGTATCACTTTGCAACATTGGAAATGTATTGTTAATAAATAAGAGTACATATCTACAAGAAGAATTCAAATTTAATCAAGCAAATCTTATTAAGTCATCAGAGTAAGAACATTACGTTGTTACGTTAACTTTAAACGTACGCTACAAACATTACGCTACATCAATAGTAATTTATAACTAACATTTTGATAAAAAAAAAAAAATTAAACTCTCAACTTATAATAGAATAATATTACAGAAAAAAGATTTTCAATATTCGGGAAAAGATTAGGAGGATCGCTAGTTGTACACAGTGTGTACAACTAGCGATCCGAGTGTGTTTACAGTGGTAGAGCCCGCTTTAAAATCTTCGCACGAATTGGCCCGGTTCGCCCGGTGAAATACCACGACCACACAGAAGACAGGCGTCAAGTGGAAGCAATTACGCGGTTCGTCTGATGAGTGTGCGTCCCGGAGGCCTAATTTAGTCCTCTTTCCCTTCCCACCCTTGTTCTTATAAGGAAAGGATGCGAAGTGAAAGTGGACTTTCCGGATGAGAGGATGCATGGAAAGGGAAGATATTTTCTTTCTGTGCATCATCTCCTCCGTCGATTAAAGGTAGGCAACGCATATGCAATTGCGTATGTCTATGGGAAACGGTCACTTCGCTATTTCAGCGATTTCAGGTAACCGTTCGCTCGTTTGCCACCTTATGATATAAATTATTTTTTTTTATAACGAATGACACCAAAATATTATTTAGACCGATCGAAGTATTAAAATGCTATTATTATATCACTACTAAGACTGTGTTCTACGATGATGAAATAGGAAGAGTTAATCAAAGCACTTTCCTGTAGAAGCGACGGAAATTAATAAACGTTCATAAAACAACACACTTGTGGGTGTAACTGTACTTATTTGAAGGAATTTTAACAAAGAAGACTAAAGAGATCTTTGTAGATTCATGTTTTTAGATTATTTAATAAATCTGAAAGTTTTTAAAGAGTATATCATTCTCCTTTCCTAGAGACGTATGAAAACATTATTAAATGCTTAAGAAAAGAATTGAAGGCTCCATAAACAACATAAACTCAGAGATGTAGACCGTAACACATATTCATTAAACAGTTTAAAACTTAATTTCTTTCTTTGCGTACTATTTAAGGAATAGTCAATCAAGGATATTGTGATAAGATTGATGAGAGTGATTCATTAATAGGTAGAACGTACATGTACATAGAAAATAGCATAAAAAATGACATGACAGCTACAGTACGAAAGGGATCTTGAAGCAGTATTTTGACATTGACAAGGGGGCGCTAGTGAGCTGTCATAATTTAGTTTGACTTACGCCCACCGGGACAAGTATCCTTGTCGGTCTGTACTATTTACGATATATGTCACGTACTTGTATATAATATTCTATGTACGTGTATGTATGACATTGTCGGTGAATTGTTACGGTGAAGAAAAACATCGTGATGCAACCTGCACATATCTAAGAAGAAATTCAAAGATATGTGTGAAGTCAACATACCCGTACAAGGTTAGCGTGTTTGACTATGGCCTATGACTAACCCCTAACTTAGGGTAGGCTCCAAGCCCCTGAGTGGGGACGTATGCTGATGCTGATGACTACCGAAAGACCGACACTGAAATATTTTGTTACCTCTATTATTATTTTTCACAAAAACAGAGAAAACAATCTTATCTATAGGTGGAAGCCCAAAATAATAATTTCTGAAATACGTAAATAGTAACGTAATGTCTTAAGTCAGTTGAAAATCGACATAGTACGAGTATAGAAATTTTTATACCAGCAAACCGTTTAAGGTAACCTCGTAGCCATAAAGCCTTTTACCTTCCCTTCATCCGTCCTAAGTTAACAAAAGTGTACATAATTAAGTACCGTAGATGTAAGTTTATAAGATTGTTAATAAATCATCTTTACTTGATTCAAAAATTGATTTACCCAGCTTCAGTCCCTAAAGACAGTAAGAGTTATATTAAAAAAAAAACTTTATATTAATTGATTTGTCGAATGCAAAAGAGCGTTTTAAGATATTGTATAGAAAATAGTATCCAAATGCCTATATAAGTACAGTCATAGTCATCTCAGTTTTATTTTTCAATTTTAATATTGAATAAAATATAAATATAAAAATAGCAATTTTTCTCATTTTGGTAAAAATTATCGTATTCCTAACTTATATTAAAAATCATAGCAAAGCTAAACTAGCTCAGTTTTATATAGAAAGAACATTTTAATATTAAAATGAATTTGCTTAATATAATTATCACTGCGAATGATACTTAACTAATTCAAAAAACGCCCTGAAAATGAATGTCATTTGAGTAAAAATTATAGATTTATTTGCGATTAAATAAAATTTAATATTCATTTTAGACTCGTCGTGTAGATAAAAATTTAGTATTTTAAACGCTGTTAAACCGTACTATTAACTTTAATTTAAAAAAATATAAAAATATATTAAAGTAAAGAAGTATATTTATGGTAAATTTTAGACAAATTTCCTAGTAATATATAATTTTCTTACCTATAAAAAGGCCAAAAACTAGAAGAACGTTCATGTTGAAGAATTAAACATCTACAGCATTGCATATACAAAATCATCCAATCGGTTCACATTATATATTTAAAAATGTCGTTCATAATAACAGAAATAAATTAGCACAATTAACAACACTTTCACACCATTAGCTCTATTAAAAAAGAAAACTTTTAAAACTCCGAAAATCACTTGAAAAAGTTGTTAGAGAGATTTTCGATGTCCGAACGTGTTTGCAACGACGGCGTAGCCGCGTAGCCTTACATTCCACGCCGTAGCCACGAACCTACTGCGGGACGGCTTCCAGAGGCAATCCTTCCCCTCTCCTCTCGAATCCCCCCGCCCCCTTCGTGCGCCCTTATCGCGATCCCGTAATTAGATAAATGTCATTGCTGTTGTCTCTGAGTTTTTTGCCTTGTTCCACGAATTTCGTCGACCGAAGTAATATACTGAAGTTGTTGGAGACACTCATTTGCGAAAATGATATTTGTGTTTGCGCTCAATTTTACATGCTTAGATGTATGTGTGAGACGAGGAGAGGACAAATACTTTGTGTGAAAATATGTTGAGCTTCATCGTCCTTGCTTTATGAGATTTCCACCTTTCTTTGCTCGTTTCACGCAGTTGTGATTTGATTTTTTTTACTTTCTTCTTTCTTATATAAGTGAGTGGTGAATTAAGTAATAATTTAGTTGTTGTTTCGAATGTTTCCTTTTGCTGGATTTAAGTGATTGTTTATTATTTGTGTTTAGCAATATGGTTTAAACAGTTTCGTCTGATGAGTGTGCGTGCTGCAAGCCATATATTCCTACTCACTCTTCCCCTTCCCATCCTCTTGGTGAAACCAAAAAATGGAAAGAGAAAGTATATTTTACAGTTAAGGCGACATATCCATTTTCTGTCCGCCCACATCACTGCTTTGGCAACGTATCTGCAAATGCGGATGTCCATGGACTTCGCTATTTTGACGAATAACGGTGGCTGTTTGCTTATCATCTTATACTATAAAATATACTTTATGGTGATTTCCTCAATGCAATGTTATCTTAAGTAATTGTACCGTAATTATCGGAAGGCAGAAATAAATATATCTCATGTGTATTTCTACGTTGTACAAGGGTCGCCATATTTCAAAATTCTAACTCTATTCGTTGCTATCTACGGCCATTAATTACGTAACAGAGTCGATATTCCCCAATTAAAGTGCTACGAACGTTTTGTGCGGTCCGATATTGTATTAGATGTAACATATCAACTATAATCCTACAGAATTAAGAAGTTAAAAGTAACAGGTACAAAATTAATAAACGAAATATTATATCCTGCGTTGCTTGCTACAACGTTGCTACGGCGTAGTAATACTTTTTGTAGGCTTACCTCGGCTATATTAAATATTTTGTAAATTATTTTAATAAAGACATTGTTAGTTAAAAATAAAAAGTGTTATGTAATATTTTATTTATTTAAAAAGCACAATCTCCTTGACTTCGTTTTGTCTGTATCTCAAAGTCCCACCAATCCAAGACACTTGTTTCGGAAATTTTCCAGAAACAAACGCGGTTTTGCCGACATACAAAATCATTAAAAACTGAATTTTCCTTATAAACAAAATAATGTTCGAGAAATATGTTTTATTTTTTACACAAAGACACTCCAATTGTGTTAATTGTATATATATGTAGGTAATAAAATAGTAGTTAAATAAAAGCAAAGACAACTTTATGATTTGTTACTATTCCGCCACTAAATCTAGATTCCAGTCATGAATGAAAAATAGTTCTCCACGTTTGCTTGGATTATCATAAAAAGGCAGTTATAGTGAACATAAAACTGTGATACGTTACATAGAAATTGTCAAAAGATTTTGATAAGCGGAATATTCTTTTACTAAAGTGAAATATTGCCTACCGTTTTCAGTGCGTTTATAAATGTATAGTTGTTGCTTGCGACTCCGTCCACGCGGTATTAAAATAACTTAATTAGTAGCCTATGTGTTCTTCCAGACTGTGTTCTACATGTATCCCAAATTTCATCAAGATCTGTTAAGCAGTTCTAGAGATACCTTCTAAGAACCATCCATACAAACATACGCATTTATAATATTTTTTTTTATATCAAAAGGTGGCACACGAGCGAGCGGCCACCTGACATCGCTGAAATAGCGAAGTGACCGTTGCCCATAGACTTACGCAATTGCATATGCGTTGCCTACCTTTAATCGACGGAGGAGAGGATGCACAGAAAGAAAATATCTTCCCTTTCCATGCATCCTCTCATCCGGAAAGTCCACTTCCACTTCCCATCCTTTCCTTGTAAAGAAAAGGATGGGAAGGGAAAGAGGACTCAATTAGGCCTCCGGGACGCACACTCATCAGACGAAACGCGGAATTGCTTCCACTTCACGCCTGTCTTCTGTGTGGTCGTGGTATTTCACCGGGCGAGCCGGGCCGATTCGTGTGAAGATGTTAAAGCGGGCTCTACCACTGTTAAAGTTATATTAGTGAAACATGTAAAATTATAATTTTACAAAAAATTAAGTCCTTATTTCATCTCTAAAATATGATGATAAATGTTTTTTTTCAATATGAATCAATGTTATTCAGTTTTTATCGTATTTTGGGCCTCTATTTGTATAGCATAAAACCGTAGAACCTTATTTCAATATTATGTCGATTAGTCCCTGCTTTAGACAAGGGGAGACAGGAAAACTGATCGTCTTTGTGTTTCCGACAGATATCTTATGGTTTTCATACAGACAATATTTCAAAGAGAATCACTTTATGAAAATCATCTTTTATAACTGTGTGAAATAATCACATAATGGAATTGAGATAAAAGAAATTTTATAATAAAATGCTCAATCATAAAAGTAAAGGCGAAAAAAATATTTGTCATGATTTCAAAGTAATAAAATATTAGCTGACAGCAGCGACTCCGTCCGCGCGGTTTTAAAAGTAAAGTAACTACTAGCCTATGTGTTCTTTCAGATTATATTCTACATCTGTACCAAATTTCATTGAGATCGTTCTGGAGATACCTTCAAACAAACATCCATCCATCCAAACATTCGCATTTATAATATTAGTAAGATTAAAAATTTACGATAAGTAGTATACACCAGAAATATAATTGTTTTTTTTTAATTATCATTCTTTAATAGTCTTTTTAAGTAATATTCATTTTGAAATTATAAATCGAACCTAAGATATGTATTCATTTAGTATGGTTATTTACAGGATTGTTTCAACACAGCCACGGAAACCATAAAATTCGACTAGATTCTTTACTTCTGACAATATTATAAAATACAAAATCAATTAACCAAATTTTTTAAATATGTTAAATGTTGCGAATGGAATAATTATGAAACTTTATACTACTCTATCGTACTGGTCAAATTAACAGCCTTAATGAGAATAAAAAAAACAATTGTCTTGCCTTCATTTTGTGCCAGATGCATTGTCTTATTTAAATATATCAAATGTCTTTTCTCAGTAGCTCTCACAATTCCTCCTCCGAAGTCATCGTAGAAATAGCTTTATGGCTTTTTCAAATAGCTCAGTGCAGATAAGATACTCTGGGGAGCAATTCGCACCACTCGCCTTTAACTTGCTTTCTAAATGCACTTCCACTTTAACTACGCCACCATTATATCACATTTTCAATCTGCCATTTGATTTCTAGACTACTACTCTTTGCCCTACTTCTGTTATGTTTGTTTTTGCGATATTTTCATTTACATATATATCTCAATAAAGAAAAATACAATTAAAATAATCTAGATAATCTTACTTATATTAGATATAAAACGAATGTTTATATGTATGGAGTTATAGACAGGAGTATTTTGAGAACGGCTCAACGGATCTCGATGAAATTTTACATAGATGTAGAAAATTACTGGAGGAACACAGAGGCTACTAAGTTTTTTAAATTCCGCACCGATGGATCTGCGGGCGACCGCTAGTACAAATGTAAAAGCATTTTTCAGTAATATTATTGTAAGAATGACTTACTCGACTTGACTAAAAGCCCTATGTCCCCGTAGTGGGGCAGAGGGCGCCCACAGTGCGCCGCCAGTTCGCTTTATATTGGGCTCCGCGTTTGATCTCGGGCCATGTCAGCCCAATTGCATTCATGTGGGCAGCTACTGAGCGCCGCGAGTGAATAAATAATAATATTAACAATATATTTTATTAATAAAATATCACAAAAAACTGCCACAAAATCAGTTGATTCGTACTAAGTAAAATCCTTCGCTATTTTTGAACACACAGAAAATTCAATCACAGCATTACAACTAACATTTCTACGAACGTATTAAATGACATTTATGAGCCAAAATATTTTTAAATCGCTTCTATTAGTCAATATTAATATGCCAATTTAAAGTTCGCAAACACGTCCATTCGCAGAAGGTTTGGCACACTTAACTAATTTTATGAACCGCCAAATTGCTCCATAAATATCCTATAACATTTATATTATACGCTTATAATTTAATTAGCAACTAAATTATCTTAATGGATATATCGCTAACTAGATATACCAACCATCTAAGTATATCTTTACATCTATACATATAAATAAAATAGAAGTATCTGTATGTTGTATGTAGGAGAGTCGGTGGCTCAGTGGTCAAGCACTTTACTTGCAATCTGCAGGTCCTGGGTTCGAATCCCGCCATGTACCAATGTGTTTTTCTATTTCCGATTTACATATGTACATTTATCCGACGTTCTTATGGTGAAAGAAAACGTCGTGATGCAACCTGCACATATCTGAGAAGAAATTCAAAGATATGTGTGAAGTCAACCAATTCGTACTTGGCCAGCGGGGTTGACTATGGCCTAATCACCCTTAACTTAGGGTAGGCTCCGAACCCTTCGGTGGGGACGTAGTGAGCTGATGATGATGATGAATCTGTATGTTTTATCAAAAAATATATAGTTCGTACACATGTTGTATTTGCGTAGCTAATAACGAGAAACCAAATTTAACAATTTTGTATGTCTGTCTGTACACTAGGCCACGTATGTTCCGGGTAATATCAGAAACAGTTGGACCGATTTTGACGTGACTTAGATGAGAAGGTAACTGATGCATGCGGACATGCCTGTGCTTATGCAGTCGCGAGCGACCGCTGGTTATAAATAAAGTCTTCATAAATCATTCAGGAAGGTTGGAAACGTTGTTAAGCGTTTGAAAGTACAACGTATTTTGTACGGCCTTAATATCTAATCATATCGCTTACGATAATTTCCAAA